AATACATTTAGAAATCAAGAATTATTTTACTGACACAGTCATACCAACTCATTTATTTTTGTTCATACCACTTTATTCAAAAAGTGCTAAAGTTAGTTACCAAGTGTACTTTGACAATAGATATTTCCAGCCAGCTCACTCAAGTTAAGTCTGTGCATGAAAAACTATGCTTCATCTTCCATATAGTATCCAGCTTAGTTGGAAATCAGACTAATTTTCTTGATTAAGAGCTCAACAAACAAATTTCCAGAATCCAAATGAATGGATGAAAACACTTAAAAGCAAATGTTTCACCTTCCAGGGCTCATCATAGATGTGATCAAAGATTTGGATAGAACAAAGAAGACTTTCAGATTTTTTTAAAGATTGTTTTATGTTTACATTTTCTTTTTTTTCCTTTTTTAAAAAAGCTGTTAGTTAGTTTCCCTTGTTTCAAATGAAACTAACTAGCACTAAGCTTAGGGGAGTGTAACATACTTGAGTGTTTAATTGCAAAGCAGTGAGCTACTCTGTTTGGATAAAGCATTCCTCTGCAGTGTACGTTTCAAAGGGACTGTCTGCTGGATTTTACTCAGCGCTCCGTTTGATTTGCTAATTTCCTTCTCTGACTCCCGATACCTTTCTTGTCAGCTCAAACAAACAGCTATGTTCAACAATTGTATTTCTTTCTTTGAAGTTTTTATTCTGACTTAATATAAGCTGTACCTTTAAATCATTATGTCTGAACTTTATGCTATTTTTAAACTTGCTCACCTTTTGGGGCCTAATGGGCTATTAGCTTGTAAGTCAAGTCTTTGAAAGGAAAAGAAAATATGTTCGCACAGTTAACAAGATGCTGTATGCTGTTAAAGTGTTGGTGCAGGAGACAAATTGTCGCTGGTGAATTTTGGGCAGAAAACCATATTTAGTGAGAAAGATGAAGACACCTTTGGAGAGCTCTTTAAAGACAGGTGTCTTTGAAAAAAGGAGGAATTCATCTCCTATTGGATGAGATACTTAATCTCATGTATGTATCAGCGTGGCTGATATATCAACCACAGTTGGCTATTTGGTATCTGCATCCATAAATGAGAATCTAAAAAGCAGATATGGGAGAAAGTTGACAACAAAACAAGATTATTTTTAAACTGCGTTGTCATATTATGTTTTTATTGAGTCATAACTACACATAACAAAAGTCGTCTGACACAGTATCAGTCAGGCTCTGATTAGTAACACCTTATAGTCTGAATTCAACTTCACACGTGCATGCTCTTTACATAACGGTAGCAATAATGCAGAAGGGAACGTTTGCCTTGGAGTTTCAATTCGATCCTGAGTGATGCCTTTCAGCCATCCTAATGAGTTTACATCACTCCATGTTTTATCTGGCTTGCTGCAAGGGGAGACAGTCTTAATGGTTACCCTGTGTTTTTTCTTGTCAAAGCGCGTTTTCTCCTTTCTTTGTGCCAACTGAAGTTTCTAGAGCTTGGTGAGTCTCCCAATCTGTAATTAGTGCCAACCATAAACAACTGGAATCCTGCTGAGCACTGCCACGGGTGGCTGCCCTCACCACGGCAATCTGGAGTTTCCCCTTTGTCCTTGGATGTGTCAGATGTAGAGCCAGCTTCCCACCCTGGGAGTTGAACAGTGGGCCCACTGTATTTAGAGAAAGGGAAAAGAAAGCCGGGGAGTTTAGAAGGAACATAGATCGAGAAAAATGTATAAATACTACGAAAGCAAGACAATTGAAACATCTCACATTAGGCCTGTGATAACAGGATTTTATTAAGCAGCATGGAAGACGTCAGGCTCCCTTTCTGTCCTCCTGCAGAATCGCATTTAAATATAGTGACCGATGCCATCTAAATACAATGCAAGGCCCTGACTCTTGGATCGGATCTGGTGCTTTTTCTGCCCTGGCTCTAAGATGCCCATTAATGACATCATGGTTAATGTACTACTTGGTAGCACTCCATTCCAGCTCATTGTTTAGCATTGCATGGTTATTCTTTCACACATATTACATCTACTCAGTCACTTGTCACAGTCTGCTTAGGTTACAAGATGCTTGAGTCATGACATAATCCATTTACCAGAGAGACGGAGTGGCTGGCTGATGCTGAATGAGGTTGGAGTGGGGGGGTTTTGTTTTTGTTTTTTTATTCCTGGTGAATGCATTTAGGACTATCCAGTGACTGGATTTGAGCCTCTTTTTGCTCAAATATTTCCTCTGAGGGTCATGGTAAAGTTGTTATCTTATGAACAGGGTCTTGGCCTGAAGATATGCTCTGTGGACCATAGCAGTCAGCTGCCCGTCCTGTGACTTCCTCGCCTATTTACCCTGGACATACAGCTAATGGAAACACATGCAAGAAAGGGACAAACATCTGCACATCCCATGAAGACAACAGAACCTTATTTTGAATGTTAAACTCCTTAAAACTGAAATCAAGGCTTTAACATGTCCTTTGGTGTTTTATTTGTATGATATTTGAGTCCACCCTGTTCCCCGGGATAGGTGTTTTGTGAGGGGTGACAATGCACACAAGGTTCTTTGTTCAGCATAAAGTGAAGGGTAATTAATACCTGTTAAACACAGATAAAGAAGGCAGGGTTTTTATGTATAACAGACCTTGGGATGCATGAGTTTCTCACAGAAACAGCGAGCTGAGCAGAGCAGAGGAGCCTCATGATGATAAAATCCTTTTGAAGTTTCTCAAGTTTCCCACCACAATTTACACAATGAAAGTTGTCTTTTTTCTAAATGTGAGTACATTCTGTGAATTCTGTCACCTTGCGGTTTAGGAATAAGCACTGGGGTTTCCTCTTATACTACAAAAAACCAAACCCTACTCCCTTCAGCCTTGTTTACTCTTCTAGCAGTAAACCTAAGAGTGGGGACGAGCTAAACTTGGGAAAAATAGGCAAATTCATTGAAAATTAACAAGTCGACTTTTTCGAGATGTGACTTCATCATTACTTCTGTTGTTGCAGGGTGGGATCAAAATCTTCCCCGTGGTACTGAAAATGTTTTTTAGTATTTTCCTGCGTATCGGTATTTTAGCATCATGGCAGCCCTCATAGCTTTACACTCCGTGTCTCTGTAAATCAAATACTTTTGGAGTGATCCTGTTCACAGGATTGCTGTAAGCTATCATGCATGTGTCTTTAAAACTTTGCATTTCTGTTCAGAGACCATAATGTCATGTGTGATATGGGGGGTAGTAACACGCTAAGCCCTTGATTCGGGTTCTGTTGAGTTTGGCATGTTTCGTTCCCATAGAGATTTCTTTTGATCAAACGGGCTGCTGAACATGCGAGTTGTCATGTCAGAACCTGTTACAAATCCTACTCTCGACACAGCAGGTCGATTCAGCCTTTCAGTTTTGATCTTAGAGTAACGATTTCCCAAACGTTATACATGAAAGATGTCCATAGCGCAATCAGCCGCTAGTAATTCATCAAAGTTTGCGGAGCCATTACATTATAGGCACAGAACAAGCAGTGGGTGCAGTAGTGCTGTTGGGATGCAATAAAACACTTTGCAGTGGCAGTAGCCTAGTGTGCTCAGCTCTGTATCTTGCCTCATTACCATTGCTTAACTGCCATAAAGAGTTGTGCAGCTCCTTGTGTCTGTCTGCCTTGTAGAAACACTGTAGTGCCCTGCCGATTAGAGCCAGAGGAAAGAAGTGTTCGAGCATAAACCCGGGGAGAACTGACCTTTTTAAATTCATATGTGGAGCACTTCCCCCTGACTTCTTATGCAACTTGTCACGCTTATTGAGACTTGTGGCATCTCAGACTCAGTTTCTCCTTCATTGTCCCTCTCATACCTTACAATTTAAAAATACTGCAAAGAGTAATGACTATTAAAAAAAAGTGGCTTAATTCCTAGTATAAATGTTCACCAAATACTTGTGGGTACTCCCCAATATTGACACATTCCCAGTACTCACACCTGCCGACCTCCCCCACCCTCTGCCAATATTAGTGTTGGATTATACATTAAGGGCCTAGTCATGTTTAGCAAGTTGACCCTCTTAAAACAAAACAAACAAAAAAAAACTTTCAGTGTAGACTCCCCAGCCCCCTACTCTCACAGTTTAGAGCCACTAGCAGAGGTCTGCCCTAACAATTCCTTATATAGCTTGGTTTCTTGCCTGAGCAGACTACATTATAAGTGGGCAAATCCAGAATGCCATGCCTACAGGGATGAATTTAGGGCAGGGGAGTGGTTCATGTCTAATTTCTGTTGAGTCATGGCTTTTAAAGCGAAATCAGGATGTGATGTGTTGTGGAGAATGGGTTTGGATTGGCTTAGTCTGTTGGCATAATTAATGCGAGCTGAGGTTTGTGACTGGTTGATATGAATGCGTATGGAGATTATGACACACCAAGAGGGAGCGGTGTTTTGCCAGCCTCATTCCAAGCTTGGTGCTTTGTGGACAGGCACTGACCACAAAGCACAAAGAAGATATTTTATTACTATGTCTGATTGCTCCTACTATTGCTGTTATTAATTATATTTGCCCTTGTTGAGTAGAGCACTTCTTTATTTCTTGCCTTAGACTGTGTGCTGGTGCTTTTAGTGAAAAAGCAGGATAGCGGCGAGAGTCCTGCCTCCTCTTAAGAGATTTTTTAGGTTAGTTTTATCTGTAGTTAAGATGATGAAGCAGCTCGCGCTCCGCGTTCCCTCCCCCAGCATTATTAACCGTGCCGTCGCTCAGCGCCGTACCGGTCTCTTGAAGAGAAAAAAATTGTCTGTGAATTCTTGATTTCCAAACTTTTCAAACTGCACAATTGTCGTTTCTTTCTAGTGGAACTCAGACTTTATCAAAATAAAGTTTTTGTTCTCAACTTGTGTTTTTTTTCCCCTTAGTTTTTTGTCATTTTGAAACAGAAATCAATTTCACGAGCCTATATACAGGATCTGACTTGTCAAAGGAGCTTACTGGGCTGCGTGATGATGACATTAAGCTGACACCTGTCTTCTTTTCTCTTGCTTTTCCTTTGTGCAGGAAAATTGCTTCCAGACGACCTTTGCCTTTTTCTGAAACACCACTGCTTTTGTCAGCCTCAGAATACTTCAGCCCACGCGGAGCCACATAGCTGGGCAGGTAAGCTAAGTCTTAAGTTGTTGTTTTTTTTTACTTACTGTCATCTGCTGGACTCCATTATTGATTATATTGGAACTGCGTTTTCAGTTTGTTTTAGTCTTTTTTCTTGGACACTCTGTACTCTTCTACTGAAGTGTCCATTTTGGGGGGTTGGAAAATATTGCTGATCCTGGCAAGTAAATACCATTTATACATGCATTATGTTGGGCTGTACAAATAAATTGTAGCAGATCAAAGTAGCAAGAGTAGAGCTTAAATATCACCAAGTCTGGTAAGAATTCCTTATTGACTTAGAATTAGCATCTCCAGCCCACCTGGAGAGAGTTGTATTGATGTAATAATCTTTCTGATAGCTCTGACTCAACACTGTATCTAGAGCAGGGGGGTCAAACATAAGGCCTCAGGGCCAGAATTGGCCTGAAACAGACACCAATCCAGCCCACTGGGTGGCTTTGGGAAAATAAAAACAAAACTTCCTGTTTTACAATTGAAGGACAGTCTGGGCAAAAGCATGCCAGGACTTTTCTCTGTAGTCGTGTTAACAGATTTCTTTCATTTACTACAACAGCATTTCTTTATCATGTTCAAAAACTGAGACATAATGTTGAAACTGTAACTCTTTTGCTTATATTAGGATATCTCATGGATTAAATGTGTAGTTAAACTTCCTTACCCTGACAGAACGGGGAGTTTCACTGGTCCGACCCACTTAAGATCAAAGTAGACCGTGTGTAGCCCACAATATCCAATGGGTTTGACATCCCTGATCTCGAGCAAACGTGGTTCATTATAAGTGGGGTTAGACGTGCTCAAACAGGTACGCCATATTGTGTGCTTCAGTTTTTGCGCTCAGTGCCTGGGCTGATGTTTAATAGTGTCTTTGTGTGTGTGGCCCCACCATAAAACTTCTCTTCTGTGGCCAGTATTCTCATGCTGACACAGAAGTGCCACATAAAACACAAATTTTTCAAACTGTGTAACATTCTGACCCTGGTAACTCGGCTCCTATGAATGAGTATGGGTGTGTTTATGTGTAGCTTAGTGTAAGTCTATCCACAACACAGCTGTATTTGAGTGAAACACGCCCATCCCAAGTCTTACTGAGAGGCCCGGCATGCATCACACTGTGATTGTACACATGGCCAAGGGAAGAGGTCAAGAACATGTCCGGGCATATTTCTTTTTTTTCCCACCGATTCCCAGGGCTACACAGAAAATCAATGTTATTTTGAGTGTGACGGTGAGGAAGTTCTCAAGTTCAAGAAGTTTTGGAAAATTTTTATTAGTAGTTGACCTATGTGTTAAAGATTGTCTCCCTTGGCGTTTAATTCAAGCTGTGTCCAAGTTATTCAATTGATATACAGCCATTCCTTTCAGCATTGGCTCATTTTCCTTTTTCTGGGAAGTGATTTCATCCTTCCTGACTTCATGACTTCATGAGTGTTGGTATTTCAAAATTGTAGCTTCACATCATCAACAAAGCTCTGGCAGCTATTTTTGGACATTGTGTTTTTGTTCTTTGGTACCTATTGCCATCTCTACTTTGACAACTTGGACTATTGTTGTGTTGTCATAATAAGGCTCTTACTTGTTATTTCTGTTTTGGATTTCCACATTAGCCATATATATTTTTCCATGTCCTTTGTTTCTGAGCTTTGTGATTTGATACAAATTGTCTGGTGTGTCTTACAAACATAAATTCTTCCGTTAACTGCAACAGCAGTTCAGTTTTCTCTTTGCACCTTTATTTTTTAAACAGAGTGTTTCATTGTTTAATGGTGGCAGATTTTAGAAAATCAGGGTAGTTTTTCTTCAGCTGTTATAGTAAATGAATCTAAAATGTCATAGTGCCAGGTCTTAATGGATGCCTTAGCAAAATTCTACATTTGTTTTGAATTTAGATTTTTTTTTTTGTAGAAGATTAATGTGCATTTTGAAATGTCTTGACAGTCCTTTGTCTCTGTCTAGGCTAGTCACGACTCAGGATCTCATCAGTAGATCCCAAATCATCTAGTCTTACAGAGGATCAGAGAATCTTTAGGGAGGGGAAAGTTGAGAGGCTTGGATTTCACATAATTGTCTTCTAAACGCTGATTCGCTGATAATGTGGCCATTAATCTGATTGAAGTATCTAAATGAGGGACACACACTGGACTTCCTGTGGGGAACTTCATTAGTAGTTTTTGAGGAAAATGGGGGGTTGTGTACGATAATGATTATCCATGAATATGTAGCAACAGATAAGTTTGCTGGATATTGCAACTTTATAGTAGAGCTAGGAATTATGCATTTATGCATGTCTGAATCACCACTTGGTCATTTTGCTGGGAAAAATAGAAGCAGTGATTTATTGAAAGATGCGCAAACATGCATGGAAATACACTATATAATGAGATGTATCTCTCAGGTCTGTGTTAGGTCTGCATCTGCTGTAAATGGCTTTTTAGGCCTCTCACTTCTTTTTGTTCATATTTTTAAGGACACACTCCACACAATTCAACATTTTTGGCTAATAGCTCAACAAAGATCACCTTGTCAGTGCTATTTCTGTCAAACAAATTTATCTTTTACATTTTTAATGCATTCAACTAAAGATGTTTTTTGTTACAGGCTGCTAGTAATAAGGCGCCTAAGGAGACAACTGGTTCTTTACTCAGTTGTGTAGACACAACACTGGTTCATTTATTGAGATAAATGCCTTTTTTATGCTTGAACAATTCATAGGACAGTGTTAAGTAATACAACAAATTAAAAAAAAAAAACATTCCTTTGAAAATTGTCAGGTACAAGGTATACTCTTGTAGATTCAGAACTTCAACATTTAGTGAAAAATCAACTGCAACACCCTCAATCTGACTTTGACTCCATCCTGCTGGCTTACTTGCCTCAATTTCACATCTCCAAGAGGTTTGTGTGTGCCACAAGTACAATTTAAAAAAAGCTATAGCTATAATATTCCTTGTGAAGTTTTGTTAGTTCCCCAAAGAGTGAAAGCTTTTCCTAGTCTAGCTAAAGCAGAGGAGTTAACTGGGAATTGCACACTAACGTGATTTTTCTGGGGTTCTACAGATTCGTTATTCTCTGAGCGTTAGCAGGGCTGCTGGAGATAATGTTAATTTCCAATTAATAAAGCGTGCTTAGTAGTAGGAACTGGGCATGAAAAATATAAAAATGTTTAACTTTTTAAAGTTTAAAAGTTTAAAGAAATGAAAACAAGTATACACAAGTATAAAGTATGGTCTCAGAAGCTGTGAACACAGGTGAATTATAATACAGATTTTGTAATGGCATCTCGATACAAACCCTCCATAGATGTAATCTTTGAAATTCTTTAGTTTTCCCACAACAAGACCTGCTATCCAGAGGTTAGGTATTTTGTTTTTATGCCTATCCTGGCAGCAGTTAAAAATTAGTTAATTAAGAAGACATTAAAGCTTTAAGAAACAAATTGTAAACCCAAATCAAGCAAATATATAAATAAGACAGCTACAAATTAAAAGAAGTTAGATCCCGTTTTTAGTTGGAAAGTCAATTAACTATGTGAGATTAATTTTAGCTCTGTCTGTTGCATAATGCTTATGAAATTGCATACAGTATCTCCATCTGAAGACATGACTGGTATCAGTGCTGACCTGGAAAAAAAAAAGATTTGGATTCATGCTAACACTTTTGAATGTTCGATTATCCTGTAGTGAACAGAGGCCAAGTGTCGTTTTGAGTCCCTGAGGAGTTTCTGAGCTCTCTGAAAGTAAATCTACATTGGCTTGGAGTACACATGTATAGATCCAGTGGCTGAAGCTCTCAAGTTGCTCACCTTATTGATTGTTGCATTTCCGCACTGAGGTTTCTTGATAAATGGATTAGAATGTATTCTGCACTTTTTTTTACTCTGGACTTACCACTCAACAATATAAGATAAGATAAGATAAGATAACCTTTATTAGTCCCACACGTGGGAAATTTGTTTTGTCACAGCAGGAAGTGGACAGTGCAAAAGTTATGACGCAAAAATTAGAATACAATAAGAATAAATACAGTACACAGCTGTACAGAATAGAATAAAATAAAATACTA